GGGAAAGAGGGCGACATGATGTGCTGCTTTATAAAAGTGAGTCAGACACATGACTGCATCATAGGAACAAAATACTGAGCTCAAAGATGAACCCACTCACTTGAATGAAAATTGCTTGCTGGGTGCATAAGCCAAAAACCTTCACAGCTTTCAGATTTGCTTCAGTGTCGTGTAGCCCACTGCATGTGAGCAGGTTCCCCCTCAAGATTAAACTCAAACTTCTATTTTTTTGTGAAGGTTTTACAAAAATACAACCACAGATTTAAACACAATAGAAAGAGTAATAACAGACTTTGTTTGTAATGTAGTTTGAAGTATCTTGTCAGCAGTTTTGTTTTTTTATTATTATTATTATAGTGGTCTATGGGGAAAATGTTTAATGTACTTAGTGAGCTACTTTACTGCCAGTTTTACCCGATACAACATCTGTGAGGCCCAAAACGTATTGTTCCTGCAGGTCACTAGTCTGCAAAATTACTGACAAGACACCTCAAAGTTGATTATTGTACTTTCAATTATGAATTTTTAATCCATGAATGTTGACAAAACATTCCCACAGCCTAGAAAGTCAATTTTTACAGTACAGTGACATCATCTCACTGTAAAGTCTATGAACCGAGCCAGTGGCACCGAGAAGAGAAACACTTCTGTACAGGTGAAGTGGGCAATTTTCATTCAGATGAATAAGCAGCATCTTGGAGGCTCCAGTTCTTATAACACATTAACAGTGTATTGTGTCATTTCATATCATATATTGATTGGCTAGTTTGTAGCAGCAGTCACAGTACAGGATTAAAGTCCTTTACTTTGACAGACACTTTGGTAAGTGTGACTGGTAAGGGTGACTGTGACTCAGGAGGTAGAGCGGTCATCTTCCAGTCAGAAGGTTGGTGGTTTGATTCCCGGTCTCCCCAGTCCACATGTCGAAGTATCTTTGGCAAGACACTGAACCCCTAGTTGTCCCTGGTGGCAAGGCAGCGACTTACAGCACGACCATCAGTAAGAAATTCCCACAGGGACTAATAAAGTATAATACAATAAAACCTGAAATTTTGTAGTAAAAGCAGAATAAGACAAACAGATTCATGTAAAGATTCATTAACACCATCTGAACAACAAAAGACATGAACTCATTGGCAGATTTATCCACTACTGTGAGTTTGCTTGCTCATACATGAGTCAACTGCCATTAATCTGCCATTTTGGAAAGCACAGAGCCTTTCTGACCGTTTATGTGCACACTTCCTGTTTCACAATACCTCATGTGTCAACACCATCAAATTTTGAGAAAGCTGCCCTTCTCCATACTGCAGCATTCTAGAGGGTTGTAATGAGTATTATTGTTATGATACTGAAAAGAAATGAGCAACACAAAGAAATGTGATTGCTCATTATCACCCATTTAAACAAATATGGATTACAAATTTATTTTTTGTTGACACAGCGAGGCATTGTCACAAAAAAAGGCAAAAAAACAAACAAAAAACCAAACAAACACCTCCTGGCAGATGAAAGAGCCCTTAATGCCACCTAAAACCTATACTCCAGAATGGTAGAGAACATTTCTGAAGCATGGTGCTGAAATGAGTATCAAGTCCCATTTGTACATCCGAAGCTGGAACGAAGCTCTCCTGCCTGTGTGAGGTGTCGTTTCTCTGAATGAAAAGACACGTAGAAATATTATACAAATCCTTTCAGAGCCTAAAAGACAAGGGCAAAGATGTGTGACATGTAAATTCAAGTAAAATATCACAGTCCTGATCAATTCATGAGCCTAAACTACATTTCAAATTTTCAAGTTCATATTGCCCAGAAACACCACACCCATCACAGACATCTGAGCTAAAAAGCGGTCAGTGTGAAGTTATGTTCAGCGTTAGCTTACTCAGTAATGGTAATAGCGTAGCTGGTTCAGTGTTGAGCTCTGATCCTAACTCATCAGTGTGACGACACAGGCTGCTATTAATTTTTCAGGAATCTGAACTATACACTGTGTGTGGCTGTGTGTGTATGTTGTAAATTACATATCTGTTGTAGAACAGTGAACATGAGCTTATGCTGTGAACTCTGAGCGACGGTGAAGTCTCAGTGAAATTCATTATTAAAGACCAAACTAGACAAACTAACATAACACCAACATTATCACCAACTATTTAATTTGCTTCAGAACTTTAATGCAAATGAGTTCTATATGAGCATGATCAAGGAGTTTATCACAGGAAGGTGAAAGGTCAGGGTTTGAATCACCACCCTTAAGGGAGTATAAACTAAAACTGAGTCACACAACCTGTCATTAAAATCACTCTGCTGCCCTCCAAGTTTGGAGCAACTGCAGAAAACACACGACTGATTTTGTTCCTAGTTTGAGTGAGTATTTAATAAATCAATGAACCAACATAACAAAAGCAACATGTTTGAGTCTTAAATGTTCTTTTAAATCTGTCAGTTTTGCCCGGCTGCACCTGCCTCTCTCACTTCTCTCCCTCTACTGATGGAGCCAAACCGCTCCATCAGTCCCCTGCAGGTCTTCTTTGGCCGCTGACTACACCTAGTCGACCCTGGTCTCATATCGCCTTAGACTTTGTCACCGGCCTGCCTCCCTCCCAGGGCAACACTGTCATTCTCACCATCGTTGATCGTTTTTCCAAAGCTGCCCATTTCCTCGCCCTTCCACAGCTCCCCACTGCTCTAGAAACCACCCAGCTCCTGGTTCAGCATGTGTTTTGTATTCACGGCACTCCCATCACTATCGTTTCTGACCGCGGTCCACAATTCACCTCTCACGTCTGGTCTGCTTTTTGCACTGCCCTCGGAGCACGTCCCTGTCTTTCTTCCGGTTATCACCCCCAAACCAACGGCCAAGCTGAA